AGATTGAGCCCGAGGGGCTAGCACTATTCTGAGATTGAACCCGAGGGGCTGGTACTGTTCTGCGATGTTGCCCGAGGGGCGGTTTTGTTGATACTCTGCCCGAGGGGCGAACTTTTACTTATTATTTACCTGTTAATTACTTGTTATACCTGCTGAAAAAGGGATTTTACATGATTCTTCACCGATTTACTGATTTTAAGTGATTTTACTGCTTCAGTATAGAATGCTTTGTGCCTTACGTGTTTTCTTACCTTCAGTCATTATTTATATTTATTACTCACTGGGTCGGAGTACTCACATTACTCCCTGCTCCATGTGTGCAGATTCAGGCGTCATTGGTTCCGCTCATGAGTGCTGATTCCTCCAGTCCCAGGCGGTATTCGGAGACTACGAGGTAGCTGTTGGCGTCCGCAGCCCCGTGTCTCTACTATCCTGTCATTTCTATTTCCTTCAAACATTTGTACTAGATATTGGATTTAGCATACTTGTATCATGGTCTATAGCTGCTCGTGACTTGTGACACCCCGGTTAGGGCTGTGTCGGGTTGGACTTTTCCGCATTGTTATCGTTATTTCCGCTATTCAGGGTTATTAATCATGTTTAGACTATTTTTGTGTTGCTTAGCTGTTTTAAAGGCGAATTGGGTTAAACTGACTGGCCTTGTCTTCACGAGAGGCGCCATCACAACCGGGTTCGGGGTTGGGGTCGTGACAATATGAATCTGATGGTTTCTGCCTTAAATAAAGGATTTCTTGAAAATTCTTGATTAATCAAAATCAAGCTTTAGTTCAACAAGCTATTTCGTGCAACATTTGGTAGAAAATTGGAAGCATATAGCGTTTTGAACTTAATAATATGGAAAAAATTTGACAACTAAGCTCCCTCCAGATTTTGTTTGCAATTGTCAGGTGAACCTAAACGGTTCAGACATCTTACTAATGTGGAGAAAACTTAATATATATCTAACTCTTATATGGAACTTGAAATTGTTGTAGGGGGAGTAGTTTATAGTAAATATATAATCCACCAGCGCATAGCAAATATACAATCCACCAGGGCATTCAAACTTCGGGTATGCCATCTTTAGAAACGGTAATGTTCTGCACTATATCTACAGAAGTCATGTTATTGTTATGATTATAATTTCCATAATGATCTTATTAGAAGTTTATAAACTTCTAACAAAAGAGACTACACTTTTTTGTATATAAACTTCCTGTCTAATCATTGTTGAAAGTTCATTGTGAAAAAAAGACTACGCTTTTTTGTTTCACTAAAACAAGGGCCTGAGCTCGGAGACTCACTTCCAGTAGTGATATCAGGTACGCTTTTCCTACTACTTTCATCCGGATATATAATGATTGTGGTTGATTAATTATCTCCCTTTAGCCTTAGAATTACGTAGGACTCTTACTGCAACATAGATTTTCTTGGAATATTTGTCTTTTGTAAACACTGCCATGAATTCCTTCTCCTAAGTTTTTACTAAAATCCTTTATTTTCTTAATATTAGCATAAGAATATCTAGTTGTTCTTATGACGTAGTCTTCCAAAAACTTTCAAGTCTAACTTGACCCTCTCCTCTTTATTTTTACTTGTGAAATTGAACTGATAAAGGAAAATCAAATAGGAAATTGATAGAATAATAGTGCAAACAATAAAGGTACCTAAAGCTATACCTACAAAATTGAATAATAAAATGTCTTTAAGTATGAAGGAAAATCAAATAGGAAATTGATAGAGTAAGAACTTTGAAGAAGTTGTTATATTGAGAAAACTGACCTGCAATCAAGGGCTGCTTAATAATATCTTTTGCGCACAAATTTATAGTTTCTGTGAAGTGTTTTGTTATCCATTACAATGATAGAAAAAGAAAAAGATGTAAGACATATATAGTAAGATAATTGCTTGATTCTATCCTTGAAACTACACTCCAATCTTTTGAACTCACATAAAAAGTCTGCCACAGTGATCTCTATTTATATGCAGATTAAGATTAACTATACTGTATTTTAGTCTTTACCTCTGTAACACTTTTCTCCTTATACAGCTAGATAGATATCATATACTGCCTTTTTTGTCTTCTCTTTCGATGAAATATCTTGACAACAGGATATAACAGGCCAATGAGCCCCACGACTTAAAAATCCTGGATCCGCCACTGTAACAGGGTATATCTAATCAGCACTTCTTCAGTCGATGCAAGTAGTGCACGAGCTATGTGAGGCCAAATTCTTCCATATTTCTCTTGTTCAAATTATCTCTGATTCTTGAAAAGGTATTTTTTTTATTATTTCATTTTGGAGTAACAATGAAAGATTACATTCGTTTTAGGTCACTTTCACATAGTACAATGCCAAACTCGATCTTGTTTGCATAAAGCGTCACTACTGGAAAATTCACCAAATCCGTTCCAATAGGTAAGAAAACCGTTGCCATAGATGTACTGCTACGGTTCAGCGCCCGTTCCACAAGCTGTCGTGCCTATAGAGTTTATGGAACGGTTCCGCTAACCGTTGCTATAGAACAGTCTATCGCTACAGTTTTCCCTCTTCCTGTTGGAACGATTATTCTTATCAACTGCAACGGTTAATAACCGTTACCATAAGGTTAAATGCAACGGTCGATAACCGTTACTGTATCTATTAAACTGTTACGGGTATTACAGAAATGGCAACGATTTCTTTAAGATATTGCAACGGTTGAACTACCTATTGCTACGGTTTGTAGATTATTTTTGGAACGGTTTGCAGGTCCTATGGCAACGGTCGACCTACCTATTGCAACGATTTTTATATTATTTTGGAACGGTTTCCAGGTCCTATGACAACGGTTTTGTTAGCTGTAATAATTTAATTGAATTGAAAATAGTGCCCCTGTTTTAAATAAAGATTTTACATATATATACAATAAACTATAAAACACTAAAATTTATATAAATACAAAATGAAACTTTTCATAATCCAAATTGTCCGACAAGTTAATAATAAATCCATAGATAGTGATGAAACCAATAGCATACATTTAATATTTCAACATCAAAAGTTTTAATTTTTTTTGATAACAAACATTTTTAGAAATTGCAACATACATCTACAACAATTCAAAATTCAAGTAAGGTCTAGATCTTCATCACGGCCTTCGTCTTTCCATCTCTTCATCTACTCCACCTACAAAAGAGTATAAAGTGAGATTTATCAAAGATATTACTGGAAAAATCCCAAATGAGTTAAGTGAATGTGGGAATTTGACAATTTTTGGCTTAGCAGATACAAGAATATCTGATTCTTTGCTTGTTTCATTAGGTAAGCTCAAGAAACTTGAGACTTTGTCTATTTACACTACTATGTTGTCTGGTGAAATACCTCCTGATTTAGGTAACTGTTCTGAGCTTGTTAACTTGTATTTGTATGAAAATAGTCCTTCTGGTTCAATCCCATCTGAGATAGGGAAACTTAGAAACTTAGAAAAATTATTCCTTTGGCAGAATAATCTTGTTGGTGTTATTCCACAAGTTGGGAATTGTACTAAATTAAGTATGATTGATTTGTCTTTCAAGATGTAGCTCAAGAATTTCAAGAACCGCCAGAAGATCACATTTTCCTACTACAAGAATACAAAATTTACAATTTCAAATCTAAGCAGCGACAAAAATACACTAGGTAATTCGTTCCCGTCTATTTAAGCTTTAGTGGTCTGTACTCTACTGTTATTAAAAAAGGAAAAATAAGTATAAACATTAAAAAATTAAAACAGGCGACTACTTTAGCATCGGTCACAACCTTAGTCTTCCTAATTGCTGGAGGATATTACATTCAGCAAATTCCCCCTTTCATAGTTTGGTTACCCTTTCATAGTTTGGTTAAAATATCTGAGCTTACAGCTACTATTGCTACAAGTTGCTACTAGGAGTGCAATACAACGACAACGACTACTACGAGTGTTCAAAAGGAGTCTATTGCCAAGTTGCAGATTTCCCAGCAATAAAATCAGTAGGCCAATCAGAGTACAAATTACCACTACTGCCCAGAGTTATCAGGACACTTGAAAGAAATAATAAAATCCAAATCAACAAAGAAAATAGGGAATGACAGTACTCTTTTGAACTCTTGCGCACTGATAAAGAGAGAGAGCGAGAGAGCGCATAGTGAGAAGCAACATAAAAAAAAGAGGAGAAGAAGAGGAAAGAGAAGACGTGTAACATTTGCTACGGACTAACCTTGGTTGTTACTGCCAGCGGATGGACGATTGATTGGTTGAATAGCACCTTGTTGTGCAGAAGCAGCTTCGCCATGTGCACGAGCACTGAATATTAGCATGTCAGGATCAAGTCTTAAATCGGGGTTGAGACGTTGAAGTCGTGTAACGTCGTTCATCGTAATATCTTGTTCCATAGCATCCTTTTGTGCATTAAGCTCTTCCAGCAATTTTTCCTTTTGTGCATTGAGCTTTTCCAACAATTTTTGTTGCATCCTCTCTTCCATTTCCCCCATTTTTTGTTCCATTCTCTCATCAGTAGCATTTACAAAGGATCCAAAATCTCCTTTTTTCTTTTTAAGACAGTTTTGTTAACTCCTCGTCCATACAATCTTGCCCGACCTGGGTGCTCAGATCCCATGACCGATGCAAACGCGTCAACTGAATCACTACCATCTCTACTTTCTTGAGTTGATTGTATTCTCTCCATTTAAGCCTACAAACCAAATGCAAGAGAATAGAATATAAGTAAATAAAACTAAGTCAATAATTAAGAACAAATAAATAATCACGATAATCTTTAAACTAGAAATTCTTACAATTTTACTAATTGTATTCTCATAAGAGCTTTTGTATACTCGACCAGGTTTTCTTTTTCTTGTAACCACAAAGATGTCTTTACTTGATAGAGTATCCGAAGTATCAACCATTTCCTTTTTTTTTCTAGTAACATGAAAACTGGTATAATAATGTTTTCATTCAAAGTTAGCAAGTTCATACTTAAAGAAAAATAAGAGAAAAAATCAAACCTCAATGATTCGAGCAAAACTTGTTTTGCCAGCAGTGTGTGGATGCTTCAATTTTTTTTGATTCTCGATATTGGTTTCAGACGTTTTCTGCAAATAAACAAGCAAATGCATGTGTATATAAAGCCATGATTGTTCTATTCAAATTCATAATTAATACGCCTAAAATATAAACAAAATAATGATGCGGAAAAGGATATAATAGTTTTGACAGGATTATACTTGTAATGAACAGGAGAAGCAGGGCAAGCCAAGTGATAGATCTGATCCACTTCTAACAAAATAAGCTCAACAACATCATGTCTTATTAACTCAAATCTATGATTCCTAAAATGATGCATCAAATTTCTTTCCTCCCTGTAAAAAAATTACTTTTTCTTGTATTTAAATCTACTTTTTCTTATATTTAAATCCTATAGGGATGGTACTAGAAAAATATGCTATCAATAATTAGTAAAAATAGAAGCAAACAAGGGTGACAAAGAGCACATAGCAGCAACAAATAACAAACAAATTCCCAGCCACATTAGCCCAATTCTACTAATGCATAGTGTTATTATCTAAATATGCTTTGTGACTTCAACGTCCTCTTGGATCCTCCATGCACCCAGAACCTTGAAACCAAACAAGAACGTAAAAGAACGTATATGCAACACACTTGAAGATTCAATTAATTTTAGCTTATTACTTCCTAATAGCAGGCCTTCAAGTATTCGGTTCAAATAAAATTAGTTATGGAAGAGCATATTAAGATATACAACTGGATAGGTTTCATCACAAACAAATTATTAACTTTTACACGACATTCAGCATAGCCGAAGGCATACAGAAACAGAAATACACCGCGAGAGTAAAAGAAGGCTAATATAAAAGATTGCTTTTTTGGGTTTTTATTTCATTCCAAACTCATCAGCATAGAAAGAACTTTTGTCCATTTTTCATTTCTATTTTGTGTTGAAAAAGAGTTTAAGAAATGGGAATGACAGCTGCAGATCTTCAGTTTCATGTTTTAGCTGTTGATGATAGCTTGATTGATAGAAAGCTTATTAAAAGGCTCTTTAGAATCTCTTCTTGCCAAGGTAACTCTTAATTCTAAAACTCATTTACATACAATTTCTCTATCTTTTTTAGTATTAATTAATTAATTACATACAAAAGTTGGATGTAATTACCTTGGCGGAATTCGAGTTCCAATAGTCAAGAAGATCTTTAAAGTGAGACGCCGGAACATTTTTTGGCCTATTCTCCATTCGAAGCTCGTCATTCTCATATGCTTCAAAGTGCTTTTTCTTCAACTGACTTTTATACTTTCTCCAAGCAGTACAAACTGAATCAAAAACCCAATTCTTCGCCTCTTCAGGAATGTCATATTTTTCTCACAAATTTAGTGCAATTGGGTTAATATAAGAAATGTGAAATATTAACGCTTATTGAACATTAGGAACTTCAAACCTTGACATATTTCCAAATATCATTTTTTTATCTACTTTCCTCCAATCACATACATTAAGAGGACAAAAGGTCTCATTCCTTCCCAATGTGCCGAGGAAGCTACCCAACTCTTTCACAACTTCATCAGTAGGACCAATGGGTTGATCAAACTCATTTAGCACGATTATTTTACGGTCCTTCCTATCGTGCACACTTTTCTTTTGAGTAGGGCCTCTTTTTCTTTTTGGCGCGGAAGGGCCTGCATTAATACAAAACAAGGATAATCACCAACCACCACTGTTAGTTAATTTTATGATTAAATTTATATATACTTGCCTGGTTCCTCAGATTGTTCAATTGCTTCATGATTGGTAGAATCTTCAGATGGTTCATGCACATCTTGTGATGTAGGAGTGATGGAATCCATTGGCACTTGCCGCACTTGTTCTTGTACTCCTTGTGTTGTAGAAGAGGTAGAAATCAATGGCACTTGCCGCACTTTTTCTTGCAGTTGAGATCTTTGCGAAACCTTCTCAGCTTCTGATTGTCTTTCTTCATTTTCATGAAAGGTTCTTTTTGTTGTCAACGATTGATTTCGCAAAAATGCAAGTGATCGAGATTCTAATTATCTTTCTTCATTTTCATTAGACCTTATAGCTTGAGAGGTTCTCTTTGTTGTAAACGACGAAACTTTTTGGTTTTGCAAAGATGCAAGTGATCCAGCTGGAATGCGGTTGGATATTTTTTTATTTTTGCTTGAACACCCTTCTTGATTCATGACTATTAAAATCTCTGCCAGATTCAAAAAAGCAAACGCGAAATAGTATAAGATGAGTAAATATTACTGAAAAAAGGAGAAGTATGAAAAGAAAAGGTAGAGAGGCAAATGTTATATCATCAAACTTGGAAATAAATAAGAGATCAAACAAATGAATTGAAGAAATGAGATTTTGACCATTAATTCTTTCAGAATAAATAGCATACCAGAAAGAAGAAAGTAATACTTTGGCATCTGAAACATGCCCATATAACATTTGGGCCTAAAAAACTTTGAGCAACAAAGAGAAATACCGAAGAATAAAGGACGAGCGACAGTGAGCATTATAAATAATAGTACTCCATAAGTAAAAACATTTCAGGGATACATATTGCTTCTAGAAATCAAAAGTACAAAACATCATAAGTAAAAATCAAAGCATAACATCCAACTCACCTCCAAAAAAACTGAAACCCCACTTCAAATTCAACCCTGGTGTAAATAGCAATCACCTGGACAAGAAATGCAGAAACGTTCTTTCTCTGATCACCCTGGAGTTGAATAACCTTCAAAAACAGCAACATCACATGACATATTAGTCACAACACTCAAAAATGACCATGATATTGTAAGACATTTANCAGTCCCAATCAGTATCATCAAACCCATCTTCCTCTTCCGATTCTTCTGATTCTATAGTCATATCATGTGAATGTTTTGCATTAGTTGGAATATCAACAATATCAACGGGTATATCTTCTCTTGACCATCTAACATCAACATCAAGTAATCTAGAGGAGGAACCAATGTCATTATTAGGTTCCCTCCAAAATGTGTCTCCAATATTGGGACAATTCTCTTCCTCTAGATCATACAAATCAACAGGTACTTTATTCCTTGCATAATAAACATCTTTTTCAGTTGGATCCTCCACATAAAAAACTTGATAAACTTGTGATGCCAACACAAAAGGGTCATCTGTATTGCATAATCTATTGAAGTACACCCGAGTTAACCCATAATCATCTATTTCATTACGAAATCAATCACATCTAAATAGTACAACGTTAAAACAACCCCAATAATCAACCTCAATGATATCCCGAATAGCTCCATAATAGATAACCTCACCATCGATGGGATTTTGGTCCCTACTACTAGCAAAACTATCAGTTGTTGCCGATAAAGTCACTCCACTATTTTGAGTCTTGCCTCGGGAATCCCGTTCTTTGGTATGAAATCGGTATCCATTAATAAAATATGCAGTATATCTTTTGGCCACCATATTAGGTCCTTTGGCTAGCCATAGTAAATAATCTAGCACTACAATATTTTTAACTTTCTCCTTAAACCAATTACTGAATTCCCGACTATGATTCCTTGCTCTTTCCCATGCATTTGATCTACTGTGATTAACAATTAAATTCTTATGTTCCCTGAAATCATGATATTTCAAGTTTAATCATATAATAAACAAATATAAAATATAAATAAACATATATAAAATTTATCTTACTCGATAAACTTTTCCATTTGCTCATCTCCAGTATTGAACAGAGCATATCGATGTGCTTCAAAACATAACTGTGAATCCATGAGAAAAGTATTTTTTTTCTTACTTCCAATTGGATGGCCTATATTAGGGAATAAAGGTGACAAATTTTGAGAGCACTCATCATCCAAAGTTTGGTACATACTGAATTTTGTCTTGACACTATCATGTAGGTATCTCGAACAAAAAGTCAAGCCCTCATCAGCCAAAAACCCCTCTGCTATTGACGCTTCTGGATAAGATCGATTGCGTACAAACGCCGTGTACTTACATAGGTTTCTCTCAATGGGATACATCCAACGAAGATGAGCCGGCCCCCCAAGCTTAATTTCATTCACCAAATGAATAGGCAAATGTGGCATTATGTCAAAAAATGTTGGATGAAATTTTTTTTCAAGCTCACATGTTATTTCAACAATTTTAGACTGCATTTTTTCAAGATCTCTTTTCCTTATGACCTTACTACATATAGCTCTAAAGAAATTTCCCAACCTAATCAAGGCCAATGAAACATTCTTGGGCAACACTTTTCTAACAACAACCTGCATCAAGTAATGCATCATAAAATGAGCGTCATGACTCTTGTACCCCGATATTTTCATCTCTTTCACATGCACGCGTTCTGAAATATTCGAAGCACACGCTTTTGGTAATTTAGCATTTTTCATGACAGTGCAAAATAAAATTTTTTGTTTTGGTTCCATGTAGAAACAAGATTTAGCCAAACTTACAGTTCCATTATTGTTTGTTTTTGGTTGTAGCTCCTTTCGTATACCCATTTCTTGCAAGTCATAGCGAGAAATTTCATGGTCTTTTGACTTTCCATCTATTTCCAATAAAGTCCCGAGTAAACTATCACATATGTTTTTCTCAATGTGCATCACATCAAGATTGTGCCTCAGTTTGTTATGCACCCAATATGGCAATTCAAAGAAAATGGATCTCTTTTTCCATGGGCCCTTAGCACTCCGAGACCTTTTTTTAGTTCCCTTTACAAAGATATTGTTGAATTCAATCAGCTCTTCAAACACTTCCTCACCGGTCAAAGGAGTAGGTGCAAGTCTATGCTCCTCTTTACCGTCAAATGACTTCTTATCTCTTCGAAATGGATGATCAACAGGCAAAAATTTTCGATGACCCAAGTAACACATCTTGTGACTATGTTTGAGATATTGAGAGCATGTGTCATAATTGCAAGTAGGGCATGCCAATTTCCCCTTAGTGCTCCATCCTGAAAGCATAGCTAATGCTGGAAAATCACTAACTGTCCACAATAAGGCATCACGCATTCGAAAAGTTTGGTTGGTTACAGCATCAAATGTGTCTATCCCCATTTCCCATAGTTTCTTCAATTCTTCAATTAATGGTTGTAGGTACACGTCTATATCATTTCCCGGAGACAATGGACCTGGAATGATCATAGACAACATTATATACTCTGGCTTCATGCAAATCCACGGTGATATATTATAGTTCATTAACATAACAGGCCACGTGCTATGAGAAATGCTCATCGTCCGAAATGGGTTGAAACCATCACTTGAAAGACCCAATCTAACATTACGAGGATCGCTAGAGAAATCCGGGTGCAAAGAATCAAAATCCTTCCAAGCTTCCCCATCAGCAGGATGTCTTATATTCCCATCATTGAGTCGTTCATTAGCATGCCATCTCATCATAGCAGCCATTTCAGGACACATGAATATCCTCTGAAGCCTAGGCTTTAAAGGAAAGTACCTTAAAATCTTTGTGGGAATTTTAGAGCTTGCATTAGTCAAAGGACCAACATTCTTCCATCTTGAAGACCCACAAATGGAGAAATTATCGGCCTTCTCATTTTCTTTCCAAAATAACATGCAATCATTGGGGCATGCATGAATTTTTTCATAATGAAGACCCAAATCTTTTATCATGTTTTTAGCCTTGTTGAAAGATTCTGGTACCTGAGCAAAGGGAAATGCCTCTTTTATCAACGCTAACAAATCTGAGAAGGCCACATTACTCAACCCATGCAAGGATTTAAGCAAGTACAATCGAATAGTGAAACTCAGTTTACTGAAGTTTTCACACCCCGGATATAACTCTTGTTTTCCTTCCTCTAGTAATTTGAAAAATTTCCTTGCTTCTTCAGATTGTCTTTCCCTAGCTCCTTCTTCATCCCCTGCCTGACCCTCTATATTTCTAAATGTATCATGAAGCATTCCATCAATATCATCACGCATGTTAGAACCTTCATCATCATTTCTTGGAGAAGGTGTATTTCTCGAGGAAAATTCCTCCCCGTGGAAAACCCATTTGGTATAACCATCAACAAACCCATGAACAACCAAATGATCCTCCACCACATTTCTATAATTCCAATAGCGATTAATGTACTTTTTGCAAGGGCATAATATTTCATTTCCTTGGGCAGCTCGTTCAAATGCCTTATCAAGAAAATTATTCACTCCACCTATATACTCATCTGTCCATCTAAGGAGATTCACCCAACTTTTATCACCATAATCCATGGATATCCTATATAATATATTCAAATCACCGAAATTAATATTGTGTCGTATACCTTTAGAAGCTTTGCTATCTATGAGTTTTGCTTTCACTCCTGCAGGCCTTTGCCAGCTTCTGTCTAATCCACTAACATGTAACAAATCATTGAGAACTGAAGTAAGAATACCAAATGAAGCAAAAATATAAAAGAAAAGGAGAGTTTTTCAAAAGTAAAGATGGACTAAACCCCTCCAGATTCTCGACAAAAGCATCAACTTTCCATATTATCTGGATCACTTACCATAAAAGTTTTCTGTTTGGTCATTTAATTAGTATTGAATAGTTGTGTCAATTATACACAGGTGGACATTGAGGGATGAAGTTGTAGGAGATTTAGTTTGGTTATTAAGATAAAAAAGAGGAATTGGTTGTGGAAAAGGAGACCTTCTGAGAAGAGCAGTGGAGAAACTGAGAGTTGTTGTTCATTGTCATCACATTCAGAGAGACACTCTGATGAGCAGGTACAAGCCAAAAAAAGAGGTTCTCATTGTTCATAGATTGTCTTGACACTCTTATAATTAGTCGTGCTGATATGAAGAAGGCTAACCTCATCACACACTTGATAAAATACATTGTTGATTTCTCACATCCTCATACTTAAAGCTTTATATGAATGATTTCAAATTGATAATGGTCGAACAAAATATGATGCTCATATTTTCATAGTTAAGAAGTGTTAAAAGTTGTATTATGTATTAAATTTATGCACCTGTGCAAATTTTAAGTTTTATCAACATAAGATCAATATTCAAAGATTCTAATTCTGAAGCCATGCATCTGAGATCCAATATAGGTGTGAAAGACTTCAGCATGGAGTTGATTATGTCAGTCCCACATATAGTTAAGCAGCCAAAAACATCTTTCATTATCTGTGAAGAGTATCTATCTAGAGAAAGAAATAATGATTGGCAGTTCGCTGAAGCAACATATGATCAAGTTTTAATACAACAATATATTAAGGCTCAAACAACCGATACATCACAATGTTCAACTAATACCACATAGTTTGAACCAGACTAATGAAAATAGGACAAAGGAACCATAAGGAGCTGGAAATGTTCCTACAGTTGTGTATCAACAGAAGGTCATTTACTCACTACAGAAGAGCATTTCAACATCTTATGTCATTATGTTGCTAATTAAGGCCAAATCTATCGAAAATATAACAGAAGAAGCCTCGAAACACTTCTTTCAAACAGTAGAAATTACAGGAATTACAAGCAAACACTTCTTTCAAACACTCAATTGGTGGAAATCTTAGCAATACCATTGCTTTGGCCACCGAATTTTAAACAAAAACCAAAAATTTAATTCTTCAACCCAGAAATTTAAACAAAAACAAATTAAAAAAACCAACCCAGAAATTTAAACAAAAACAAATTAAAAAAACCAACCCAGAAATTTAACAAAAACTCAAGTTGAGCTGCTAAAACCAACCAAGAAATTTAAAGAAAAACAAATTTAAAAGGCTGCTAAAAATTAAAA